CCAGATAGATAGTGAACACGCAGCCCACGCTAGTTGAAATTTGAACACGCAGCCCAAACTTCATATTTTCTGAACACGCAGCCCAGATTAAATAGTAAACACGCAGCTACCAGCCTCAATTGAACCGTACATACAATATCGTGCCTGTAAAAGAGAGAAATTGCAACAAGTACAATATGCTACCAACATATATTTAATGTGATTCCGAAAGTTTGACGCACGCAGTGTCGGTGAGTGTATGCATCGCAATGCAAGAGTGGAACATGCGTGACAACGTATGCTCAAACATAGAGGTATGCCAATATCAAGAAATGTGCATAAAGATGTGAGTATGCTCATGAGAATGCTAGTTATGTGCATGATAGTACAAAATGAGCATGAATCAGGGTGCCCGTTTGTTACGAAACAACGAGTATGGAAATGCGTGTTTCGGCGAAGGCAACTCGATCACGGCCTCCGATCCGCTTCCCGGAAGGGCTACAACTCATTCAAAAAGGATACATCTTGATTTTGATGAATAATGATGAGGCACATGTCAGAACTTGAAGCTGAAGTTCCGGCGGAGCAATTTCGCGACCGGAAGTGTACTTCCCTTGAACTTTTTCTGGTCCCGGGAACTCCAATCTTCCTCAAAATTTGCAGGGAGCTAGGTGAGCCTGTGAGGGACATGGCCGGCCGTTTATCTTCCCAAGGGGAGGCCATCGACCACTTTTGGAAAAAGTAATTGGCTGGCCGGCCGGTTTTCCAAATAGGAAATGGCTGGCCGGCTAGAAAAGGTGGCCGGCCGGCCATATGCCCAAATCCGAGGGCATTTTGGTCTTTTCACCTCCTTTCTTCATGCTACTTCATCCCAAGACTTGGAGCCTATATAATGCAGCCGAGATCTTCTCCTCTCTTGCCTCCTACAACACTTTCTTCTCCAGATCTGAATTCCATACAAGGTGTTCAACATTACCCCGGAAGGAGGGGTTCAAAAGGGTCAGGTGGAATTACTGGTTGGCCACCAACTTTTGGTGTCCTCCCATGTGTGTACAACACAAATATGGGGGTTAGGATTGAAGAAAGTGACCCTAGGGTGGTCAACATTGGCTTGGAAGTGAGAAAAACGGGCGTCGGAGGGCCCCGGAGGAATATAATTGGTTGCTGAAACAATTGCTGGCCTCCCACCCTTCTACGGCCTTCCTGGTGATAAAACAGAGGTACCTGCCAAAAATGAACGAAAACCGTTGCAAAATGAATGTTCGGGGGCCAAAACACGCAGTTCGGGGCCCCGGAAACTGCCCGTTAAACACCGAAAATGGTATTCGACCACGAAGTGGGTTTCTCAGACCCCAGTGTCCCTTGAAAGGGAGTAAATAGGATGTATGCCAAAAATCAGAACAAACAGAGATGGTTAGGCGGTCCCGAACCGAGGCATACGGCCAACGGTCCCGAAAAACCGAAAACCGGACTCTGAAATGGGCAAAATGGCCTACGGCCACCACATGTAGCCCACAGCCACTGAGAGATGGTCTACGGGACCTCTCCCTCCCCTCAGGAAAAGAAACAAAGAAAACTGAGTCTGGTTCGCAAACTGAGACAAGGCACAGAAGAGGGTTCGGAAGTCCGGAGGCAGGGCTCACGGCCGTGACTCTGAAGCTTCTGAATAAGCACATTATGCAACATCACCAAGCGCTCAATCGGTGATGTCTGAGTCTTAAGGTCGGTCAAAAATGGGGTGTCTACAACAACCTGTCCAATACTCTTGTAAAAAATGCTACCAAAGTAAGCAAATTGTTTGCACTCTGAGTATTAGATTTATTTTTGTAGCAGTTCAAAATTGAGATACCGAGGAGACAATATATTCTTCTTGAAATTGTGAAGCATTCAACTATGATAAAGAGTGGAAAAGATAATCACCAACTTATTTGAGTTTTTCATTGAACTCAAGATTGTTTGTAGTAAGTACTTTATGCATGCTTAACTTATTTTTTTTGCTGCCATATATTGACATTGCAGAAAAATATGGTCTTCATCCTGTATCTCTTGCAATTGGTATGATAACAATCTCTCTCCTATGCACTCACGATTGCTCACCTCCTTGTATTTCGATCAATTCTCAAAGATTTTACGAAGGCCTTGGCCTAAAACTTGATATTCTAAAACCCATGTACCTTGTCACAGCCATAGCAATCTCATTGTTGGGAAAGTACTCCCTCACATCTATATGTGCCAATTAGTGCTAGTAAAATTGCCTTTTTTCTATGACTTGTGTGCATGAAATTTCAAAGCTCTACCTGAAACGTGAAATTATTAATCAAACATCAAAATTGATTTTTATTGCATGTTTTGACTGATAGACGGATTAAGATAGGAGTGTCTTTTATTGCTCAATAAAATCTTCATGTATGCAATTTTACCATTGGTTCAATGGTAAAACCTTGGCCCAATAACCTTGAGGTTACAGGTTCAAGTCCCAATCTTTTCCCTCCCAAATACATATTAATGTCTACTAATTGGGCGTTGTTTTTTTTTAAATTTTTTTTTATTATATCAATTGAACTAAGAAGCACAATTTAAGTAAAATACAACTATTAAAAGTATCAATGAATGACATTCCATATTGGAAACTGACTTATTATCAGAGTTGTATGCATTACTGCTTCTGAGCTACTGATTTTAGCTTTAGGTATTGCAAGGAGAACCTGAAACTTGAAATCAGCCTAAATTATCAATTTTGTAAGTATTAGTGCACTAAATCAGCATCCCCATCAGAATTACTGTGAACTTGAAATCAAAACTCAAGGTGAATCTTTTTTTGGTTGTTTGGTTATCTTCAATTGATAAAAATTGATATACTTGAATCATTTTTTTTTTTATAAAAACAACTATTATTATAACTAAGCTATTCTCAGAACATGCAAGCAGAAGATGAATATTCCATAAATACCTTTGCTCCAAAATTTAGGGTCGAGTGGTTGATTTGCAGCTTGTTATTTGGTTAAATCTGCTATCTCACTCTCACACACACTTGTTTTCTTGGATGTATGAGGTTACTAGTATACTGGTGGTTTTCTTCCCTATATATGAAGTATCCACTCATATGGCAGAATGATACAAGGTAGAGTTTTCATATTGATAGTTTGAACTTTGCTGTTTGTAGAGAATAGTTGACAAAACCAGAAGATGTCTGTAACTGTAATTTCATGAAAAGTTTCTTAAATCACTTCCAATTTGTGAAGCTGTATGAGGTGTGACATTGAAGGTGAGTGACCAGTTGAATAATCGAGTGAGTAATTCAGATGGCTAGATTTCTTCTTTAGCTTTTTTGCATACTATGGAGTTGCTCTTTAGAAAGTTAAAACAAAATCTCAAGTGCTGCTGCTCTTCTTCTAGCTCTTCTTCCCGACTATGTAACATTGTTGCCTACATGACTGAGAGGTGGAAAACATTACAAGATTCTTTCATAAACTCCTTGTTATTGGGCAATGAAAGTGTACATCAAAAACCACTTTTGGTGTTTTTTTTTTTAATTTTTGGTTTTTAAGACGATAACAAGATGGTTGCTAAACCCCCCCCCCCTTTTTTTTTTTTTTCGGGCAACGGCAAAACATCAATTGCAAGAAGTAGGTTAGACCATCTCCAATCCTTCATCTCTTGTTTCATCAAATTTAAATTTGATAAAAAATCGTACAAAACTGGTGCTCCAACGCTTCATCTTTTGTTTCATCAAATTGAGAATATCTCAAATTTTTCCTCCAATTGAGGATGTTGGAACATTTTATCAAATTACTATAGAGAGCTGTTAACTCTTGAGCACTAGACGACTGACCGGATGTACCCTAATTGTTTTGTTTCATCAAATTTAAATTTGATGAAAAACTATACAAAACTGGTGCTCCAACTCTTCATTTTTTGTTTCATCAAATTGAGGATAACTCAAATTTTTCATCTAATTGAGGATATTGGAACCTTTCATTAAATTACTGTAGAGAGCCGTTAGCTCTTGAGCATCGGACGACCGACCGGATGTACCTTGATTGTTTTGTTTCATCAAATTTAAATTTGATGAAAAATTGTACAAAACTGGTGCTCCAATTCTTCATCTTTTGTTTCATCAAATTAAGATATTGGAACCTTTCACTAAATTATTGTAGAGAGCCATTAGCTCTTGAGCATCGGACGACTGGCTAGATGTCCCTCTAGTTGTCCCTCGGTCAACCACTTCCTTGCAAAATTTTTTGAAAATTTACACTGGTTGGTTGACCGGCCGGTCGTCCCCTTGGTTTTCCTCCCAGTCGACCAGTAGTTTGATGAAATTCCAAATCACTTCATTGGAACGCACGAAATCAAATCAAGCAAGTGAAATTTGATAAAAAAATTTGAGTGAAGTGTTGGAGATGCTCTTAGGTGGCCGCAAATAGTTTGCAACCGTGATTTTGCGGTTGCAAAAAGTATGTCACCCCCACATTTGTTTCATCCATTTGTCGTCGTAAAAGGTCTTTTGCAAATATATTTATATTATTTGTGATGGCTTGTAGCAGTTGTAAAAAATAATTTTTTTGGTAGAGATATGTATATATATGTAGTGAGTGAAGATGCATCAAGGAAATCTGAACTGTGGAATTCTCGATTTGGTTTAGCTTCAAGCCGTTTATGCATACAATCGACATCACTTGTGGTTCCATTCAGGTTTCATTCCTTTTTTTTATTTTATATTTTTTTATTCTCTTTTGTTTTTTTGCTTTTGCTTTCCCTCTGTTTGTGTATCTGAAAAAATTGGAGGAAGAGGCATGCAAAATTATATGTTAGGCATGATTGAATAGAAATAATGATGAGATTGAATAAGATTTGTATTCAGAAATTAATTCTTAGCAATCTATGTTTTCTATAGAAAACCTAGAATGTCTACGAAATTCTTTGCTTTGAAATAGATTGAAATAATTTTTTTTAGGTTTTGTATATGTACGGGGAGCAAATATTCCGGCAAGCCCGTACTCCTTTCTTCCGAGCTCCGTCGATGTCCGATCACCTGCGAGCAAATAACGGTGAGCTACCCGGCGGTGTGTGGCCGGAAAAACCCTCCGACGATCAAGTTAGCACACACCTTAAGATGGATAGAGATAAGGGAGAGAGTGTTTGAGTGTAAGAATTCCTTACAGAGATGTTCGTGTGTCCGCGTATGGGGGGCGCAGACCCGCTTATATACCTTCTGCGCCCCAAATCTACTCTCATTAGTCTCTCGACACCTGGTGCTGCTATCCCATATGTCAGCACAAATCACGCTGAACATCACCTAACCCAACTGCCAGCCCACTCTATTGGGAGCTCGGCAGCCGGGCTGCAGCTTCTCGGCTGCCAACAGCCATACTGCACTTCAAGACCAAGTGCTTCCAATAACCGAGCTTCGTTTCAGCCGTGCTCGACCGCATTCCGGCGACGCCGAGCACGGGATTGGTCATTCCGGTCAACCAAAGGCCTTCCTGCCGAGCTTCAGGCACGAATCTTCATGCCGAGCTATGGGTGCGCGCCTTCCGACCGAGCAACGCACGAACCGTGAAGCCCTTCTAGGCCGCAGACGTCTCAGCCGAGCTCTCACTTGACCGGCCTTCATACCAAAGAGCCCAAGTAGCTCGGCTCCGCAGGCCCTTTGCCATTACTGAGCAAAACCACGGCACAATCTTGAAGCCAAATACCTCGGCCCAATCTTGTTTGGCCGAAACTAGATCATAAATCTCCCTCTCAATTGCCCCTTAATTCCGTCCGCGCTAGCGTGACTGGGATTACATTACAAGGCTTTTTGCTTGGTGATCCACTTTCTTCGGCAAGGAACCCCAAGGAAGGTGAGCAAGGTCCGCTCGGCGACTTCCCTCTTGGCGAGCAAGATCAGCTCGGCCAAGGAACTCCAAAGAAGGCGAGCAAGGTCCGCTCCGCCACTTCCTTCTTGCGGAAGAGATCAGCTCGGCCAAGGAACTCCAAAGAAGGGGAGCAAGGTCCGCTCCGCGACTTCCTTCTTGGCGGACAAGATCAGCTCGGCCAAGGAACTCCAAAGAAGGCGAGCAAGGTCCGCTCCGCCTCTTCCTTCTTGGCGGACAAGATCAACTCGGCCAAGGAACTCCAAAGAAGGGGAGCAAGGTCCGCTCCGCGACTTCCTTCTTGGCGGACAAGATCAGCTCGGCCAAGGAACTCCAAATAAGGCGAGCTAGGTCCGCTCCGGACTTCCTTCTTGGCGGACAAGATCAGCTCGGCCAAGGAACTCTAAAGAAGGCAAGCAAGGTCCGCTCCGTGACTTCTTTCTTGGCGGACAAGATCAGCTCGGCCAAGGAACTCCAAGAAGGCGAGCAAGGTCCGCTCCCCTCTTCCTTCTTGGTGGCAAGATCAGCTGGGGAAACTCCAAAGAAGGCGAGCAAGGTCCGCTCCGCCTCTTCCTTCTTGGCGGACAAATCAGCTCGGCCGGAACTCCAAAGAAGGCGAGCTAGGTCCCGCTCCGCGACTTCCTTCTTGGCGGACAAGATCAGCTCGGCAAGGAACTCCAAAGAAGGCGAGCAAGGTCCGCTCCGTGACTTCTTTCTTGGTGGACAAGATCAGCTCGGCCAAGGAACTCCAAGAAGAGAGCAAGGTCCGCTCCGCCTCTTCCTTCTTGGCGACAAGATCAGCTCGGCCAAGGAACTCCAAGAAAGGGGAGCAAGGTCCGCTCCGTGACTTCCTTCTTGGCGGACAAGATCAGCTCGGCCAAGGAACTCCAAAGAAGGTGGAGCTAGGTCCGCTCCGGACTTCCTTCTTGGCGGACAAGTTCAGCTCGCCCAAGGAACTCCAAAGAAGGCGAGCGAGGTCCGTTCCGCCTCTTCCTTCTTGGCGGACAAGATCAGCTCGGCCAAGGAACTCCAAAGAAGGGGAGCAAGGTCCGCTCCGCGACTTCCTTCTTGGCGGACAAGATCAGCTCGGCCAAGGAACTCCAAAAAAGGCGAGCTAGGTCCGCTCCGCGACTTCCTTCTTGGCGGACAAGATTAGCTCAGGCCAAGGAACTCCAAAGAAAGGGAGCAAGTCCGCTCCGCGACTTCCTTCTTGGCGGACAAGATCAGCTCGGCCAAGGAACTCCAAAGAAGGCGAGCATGGTTTGCTCTGCGACTTCCTTCTTGGCGGACAAGATCAGCTCGGCCAAGGAACTCCAAAGAAGGGGTGCAAGGTCCGCTCCGCGACTTCCTTTTTGGCAGGCAAGAACAGCTCGGCCAAAGGAACTCCAAAGAAGGCGAGCAAGGTCCGCTCCGCCACTTCTTTCTTGGAGGACAAAAACAGCTCGGCCAAGGAACTCCAAAGAAGGCGAGCAACATCCGCTCCGCGACTTCCTTCTTGGCGAGCAACATTAGCTCGGCTGAAAACTTCGCAGTTGAACACATCATCAACTCGCCAGCCGGAGTAAATCATCTCGGCTGGAACCTCAGAGTTGAACAAATCATCAACTCACCAGCCGGAGTAAATCATCTCGGCTGGAACCTCAGAGTTGAAAATTCATCAACTCGCCAGCCGGAGTAAATCATCTCGGCTGGAACCTCGGAGTTGAACAAATCATCAACTCGCCAGCCGGAGTAAATCATCTTGGCTGGAACCTCGGAGTTGAAGCAAATCATAACTCGCCAGCCGGAGTAAAACATCTCGGCTGGAACCTCACAGTTGAACAAATCATCAACTCTTCAGCCGGAGTAAATCATCTCAGCTGGAACCTCGCAGTTGAGCAAATCATCAACTCTTCAGCCGGAGTAAATCATCTCGGCTGGACCCTCGAAGTTGAGCAAATCATCAACCCGTCAGTCGGAGTAAGATCATCTCGGCTGGAACCTCGCAGTTGAACAAATCGTCAACTCTTCAGCCGGAGTAAATCATCTGGCTGGAACCTCGCAGTTGAGCAAATCATCAACTCTTCAGCCGGAGTAAATCATCTCGGCTGGAACCTCAGAGTTAAGCAAATCATCAACCCGTCAGCCGGAGTAAGTCATCTCGGCTGGAACAACCTCCGCAGTTTGAACATAATCCATCAATCTCTTCAGCGCGGAAGTAAATCATCTCGGCTGGAACCTCGCAGTTGAGCAAAATCAT